AAGAAGTGGTCAAGGAAGGTCACAAGGATCAAAGCCTCGGCGATGTAGTATTTGCGGAAAGACCGGGCATACTGCAAGGACCTGTCAAGAGTCAATTGAGGTTAATAGGGAATAGTCTAGCGATTAATTTTAATTGATCAGATATGTTGTGGTGTTTTATTTCTCTTTCTGAGTCTTCACGTGTAGATTGGTGGAGCACTCGCTTGTCTGGAGCACTCGCTTATCATGCACGTTAGTAGAAGGATAATTATCACCCCCCTCACAGGGCATTTCATTATTATCTAATAGAGGTACAGCCTTCTATGTCACGATGAGCCTCTCAAACCAAAGCGATATGAGTCAGTTTGTATCTAGTGTTGAACCTCAGATACCTAAGAAGCGCCACCGTGGTTACATACGCAGCTTCAAGGCCTGCGATAGATGTAGGGCAAAGAAGACTAGGTGTATCTTGGATGCGCCCGAGGAGCCTCAGGGTGCCTGTCAAAGGTGTAAGAGAGAACGAAAGGTATGTTCTTTGACAGACCAGTCAGTGACATCGAGGAATGTCGCAAAAGAAGGTGATATTTCCCATGTTGGTACCAGCCATAAAGAAGGTTAGTTAGGATTATGGCCCAAGCAATTGAGCCTCGCTAATGACACGGGAAAAGCCTCCAGACGCCATGAATGCAGTATTTCTCGACCACATACCACCCAGGGCGACCCTGCGCTGTCCACCCCGACGACTGACGGCGATCATGAGAGGCAAGCGATGTCGGTAGCTTCGACTGGATCTACGCAACCTCCACTACATAGACTACCAGACTTTCATCTGATGCTACCGCTGGCGTCCAGAGCGGCAGATAACATCGACACTGTTGTGCATGTTCCAATATCGAACGACGGTGACACTATCAAGCTTCTGCAGCAGTCGTCAAAATATGACGACGCGAAGGAGGGAGTTCAGCGTGATGGCTCGTCAGCTTTGTCAAACCCTTCAAAACAAGGGTTTTTGGCAATAAATGGACCCTTGATATCTGAACTTTCGTCCCCCAGCATCGAGGCGCTAAGACTATGGGATAGTCTAAGATTTGTTCGTATGGGCTGGCTGACTGCACTTGAGGCGGTGTCGTACATGGACCTGTAAGCTCTTCACATCGATTGCATTATCTGAAGTTGACACAATTCTGAAGATTCTTTGAGAACATACTCCCGCTGTCACTGGTGATGGATGACTTTTATAGTCACCACGAAAACCATTATAAGTTGATAACGCAGGAGCCCCTCCTCTGTTGTACAATCCTCATGATCTCCTCCCGCTTTCATTGCCTTCAGGGTACTTCAAGCTGGTCGAGAAGTGTCGCTTTACATACACGGCTATGGGAGCATTGCGAGCATCTTGTAAATCGAATTATCTTTGGCCAAGAGAAGAAGTCCAAAGCAAAAACTCGGACGCTCGGCGCAATCCAAGCCCTTATCCTCATGACTGAGTGGGCACCACGATCAGCTTACTTCCCCCCCAAGTCGGATGGTTGGGACTCGGACTTGCTCTTCCAGCTTCCTGACGAACGAGACCAATTAGACGGGAACTTGGCAGATGTCACTCAAGACCTCCATGGGAATTGGTACCGAGATGTCGTCGCTCCTGCAAAGACCATCGATCGCATGTCGTGGATGCTTCTTGGCTGCGCAGTTACTCTTGGTCACGAAATCGGCTTGTTTACTGCAGCTGGGATGAGCCCAACAGCCAGGAATACGCAGGACCATGGAACAAGCTACGTCTGGCTACGCAAGGTGATATTTATTGCCGATGAACAGCTGTCTAGCCGAAACGGGCTCACATCAATGATTCCTTCAAGTCTCAACTCTTCAGCCTTTGAACCCTGGATAGGCTCTCCATCTGCCGAGGCCGAGCCAGCTCGCAGGTTCGTCAATGGCCAGCTAGCTCTCGCAGACTTGGCTCGATCAATCTCGAATACCTTGTTTTCTTCAAGGAATACTACACAGGAGCTTATACAGAGCTACAAATACGTGGCCAGCATAGAGGAATATCAGCAAAAACTTGCCGCGTGGCGAGAGACGTTCTTGAATAAGCAAGGTAAGCAGAGCATATATCTGTCCAACCGTTTGCGTGCTGACTGCTCTATCCTCCATCTAGTGTTGTCATGGCTCTCACTCCACCTGCTGGAGATAGAGTACCAGTACGCCACAGTCTTTCTTCACAGTCTGGGAATGCAGGCCGTCGTCGATCGGTCCTGTAGAAACAACCCAAATGATTCAAACGCCACGAACCGAGCCACCGGGAACTGGATACTGAACTTTGCCACTCCAACGGACCTTCGGTTCATTAATGTAGTGATACAGGGCAGCTGCGAGCTGATGCAAAGTGCAATACAGTTAGCTGCACGCGGATCTCTACAGTACTGCCCTACGCGTGTCATCACCCGCGTCATCGGTGTCTCTGTATTCCTACTCAAAGCCCTTGGTCTGGGCGTTGAAAGAGCTGTTTTCAACAAGTCTCTGGACCAGCTTGAGCATGTGGTCCAGGCTATTCGCCACAGCACCTGGGACGACTTGGATCTTGCAAAGCGTTATGCCGATGTCCTGCATCATCACATCGATCAGCTCAGGAACGGCTCTTGTACGCGAGGGTCCCAGCAAGAAACACCCGTTGTTGAGCAGCGGCTGGGTGATGCCTTGGATGAGCAGGGGCCAAGCTACGACAGTCGCGATATGTTTGGTGATATACATGTTCCTGATGATTGGCCCGACTCACTCGCATTTCTAGATGCTTCGCTGGCGCCATTTGGCATCGCCACCGATGAAAGTTCTGGAATTGCCGGTATGGGAGATAGTGATTGGAGTTTACTGTGGAACATTCCTTCATTCTATACACCCTCGTTTCCTCCCTAAATAGCAGACAAATAAATCTCAACTTCAAATCAAATAGCCATGACACCCAGAACCCTAAATATTTCTTATGCAGTTGCCCGTGACATTCCCGATCAGTGACCATTGGTTGGTGAACTTCCGATTGCCTTACGGTTGCCATTAGATGCCACCTTGGCCTTTACATCCCGAGTAGCATATCTGTCCTCGAGAGCCTGCCATATCCGTTAGATATATACGTGTCAGTTTCGTTTGACATTGCTTACCCAATATTTTTTGAAGCCAACGCCTTCGCAGACTTCAGCAGCGGAGAGAATTGTTGGTGGCGGTCCGATTGGTAGGCTCGTCTTGAGACCTTGGAGGGTCTCGCGGATGCTCTTCAACTTGGCGGCGACAAGCATGAAGGGGTATGCAACGACACTGAACCCTAGCTCTGCTAATTCCATAGCGGAGAGGTTCTCGGTCATCCCCCCGTCGATTACTTCTATCATCAGCTTCTAGTGCTTTAGTATGGTTGTGGACTTGCATACTGTTGGCCATCATAGGCATCTGAACCTCGTCGACAGCTCGTTTCATTGCATCTCTATCAGGCAGCGCCTCGATGAAGATACCATCGGCGCCAATTCTTTGGAACTCCCTTGCGCGGAAGATGGCTTCGTCCCAGCCAAGAATAAGAGAATCGGTCCGGGCCAGGATAAAGATGTCCAAGCCGTTATCTCTGGCATCACATGCGGCTTGGATACGGGCAAATGCTTCTTCGCGTGGCACAACAGACTTACCCTTAGTGTGACCGCAACCTTTATATCTCAAGTCAGCCTAATGGTGCCGAGACAGGAGTAAATCTTACGTTTGGGCCAACTCTGGTCCTCAATCATAACACCAGCTGCTCCAGCAAGAGCAAAGCTCTCAACTGTCCGCTTCACATTGACGGGTCCTCCATATCCCGTATCCCCATCAGCTATGATGGGAATCGACGTCACACGAGACGTCTCCTGGATCTTGTCACACATTTCCTGCATGGCGATGTAGCCGGTATCAGGCAACCCGTGAGAACTAGAGACAGTGTATCCGGAGATGAATAGGATAGGGAAGCCAGCTTCCTCAACGAGCCGAGACGAGAGTGCATCGTAGGAACAAGGGACGGCAAGGATTTTGCTTCTGTCGTTGTAAGCTTCCAGCACCATACTTCGCAGCCGCGATGCCCGTGATGAAGGCAGTCGACCCCGTGCATTAGGAAAGCAAACGGTTGCGGTTTGGGCGCCATCGGCCTTCTGATGTACCTCAATCTCTTTGCCACTTTCGAACGCGAAAGGGAACTTCATCTCGTCTTGGTAGGCGGCCGGCATGGTGAAGGAATAAGCAATGTTGAAGTACTGAAAATAGATTCTGTAGATCTGAGTTGTGAACAATCTTGTAGTCTAGCTCATGAACCAGTAGTATACTGCAAACCCATCTGTTCATTTATACCTTAATCATGCCCATCATACTACCGGAAGCTCCATTGTCTCGCCTCCCCATAGCGTCGTAGCGAACGGGGGTCAGCCGGATTCTCTCGCCCTATTTCGGTGTTCAAGCTAAGAAGTGAGGCAAAGACCCCACTTAAGATTCCGCGATATTCCTTGAAATCCCTTCGCAACCGATGGAGTACTAGTCGAAGTCAATAGTGCATACAGTGAGTCCTTATCACAGAATCAATTACAAGGGGATAGCTTCAGCAACAAGCAATCTGCTGCAAGCCTCAGATCACTGCAGCGACACGTTATCTTTTATTCAGTTCGGATATCTACTTGAAAAAGTCATTACATGGATTTCGTGCTGCTTTTTTCGCCCTTTTCAGGTCACTCGACCGCTCGCATGGGTTGACTGAGTTACGTAGTTCGAGCTTAAGATGATGGGTTCATTACATGGGGATGGACAACACCATCCCTTGGCACCGGGATTCTTTACCCGGCCGGTCTCGGATCCCCATTCCAAGAAGGACTGCCAGCCACAAATGCAGCCATTGCAGTGCTATCCTTGAGCCTGTTGCTGTATTGGTCTGAATATTGGTTAGCGGAATTATCGGACGGAATTCTTGCAGTTCTAGCGCATGATTCCTTGAGATCCCTTGGAATCCCGCAGCTTGCTCGGTATCTTGCATCCGCTAGACGGACAAACCCCATCCGGATTCGGCCTGCCCCAGATTCAACCCCGCATTTGCAAAACCTGGGGAAACTCATGGGGTTCGCCAATAGGGAATGTATTATTAGCCTTATTTCAACTTTATTCATTATAACTGTTGATTCTTCCTTACGTTGACTATAAGTATCTAACTCCACCCAGCATTCTTTTCCTAAAGCCAGAAACCCAGGCTGTCTATTTCCAATCACTACTCCATCTCTTACCTCAACGGATTTCAACATGTCTACAGGCAAGCCTGAAACGAGGGACCTAGAAAGCCCTAAGATGTCTATGGACGAACATACTCGCATCGAGGTGCCGGCCAACGTCAATCGCCGAGTAAGACGACTGGTATGAACTGTTCCATTACGAAGTGGATTCCAGGTGCAAGCTAACCATGTCCAGTTTGACCTTCGTGTTCTTCCCATCGTCTGCTGTCTCTACGTTTTGTCATACCTTGACCGAGGAAATATTGGAAATGCAAAGACTGCAGGTGCCCAAGACGCCCTAGGTCTTAGCTCCTCGCAGTGGGCTTGGGTGCTAAATTCGTTTTACATTGCCTATATTCTCTTTGAATGGACTACCATGTTCTGGAAGATCTTTCCAGCGCACATCTATGTTGCAGTTCTCTGTCTCGGGCAAGTCTCAAAGATTCCCTGCTGATAATTTCGCACTAACAAATCATTCTTAGCTGGGGAGCTGCTGCTATGAGCTCTGGTGCGGCCCGGAACATGGCTGAATTGATCGTGACCCGTGTCTTCCTAGGCATATTCGAGGCAACCTTTGGCGCCGGCGCTCCTTATTTTCTCTCCTGCATATATAAACGAGAAGAACTCGGACTACGCATGGCTATCTTGCTAGGCATGTCCCCCCTTGCTAACACCTTTGCCTCGACACTAGCATATGGTATCACGCACATTCGCAATTCAATGGAACCGTGGAGACTTTTATTCATTATCGGTAAGTCGACCTCGAACCTCAAACGACCACAAATATCACTATGCTAATTCCCATTGCAGAAGGAGCGCCGACTATAGCCTTTTCTGTCATTGTTTACTTCTTCCTCATTGATTCTCCATCGACCGCCAAGTTCCTTACAGAAGAGGAGAGGACCTTTGCCGTCGAACGTCTGCCAGTGCGAGATAATACATCCAACCAGGCGGTTAGCTGGAAGCAGATCATATCTGGAATATTCGACTATAAGAACTATATGCACGCTGCTATACACTTCTGTTGCAATTTCTCCTTTGCCGCCTTGTCCAACTTCTTGCCTACTATCATACATAGTATCGGCTATGACTCAGTTACTGCACAGGGCTTATCAGCACCTGTGTATTTTGCTGCATTTATTCTTTGCCTTGCGTCTGCTTTCTACTCTGATCGATACGGAAACCGTGGGTATGTCGTTGCCAGCTTCGGTGTCATAGGGGCTGTTGGCTATGGTATTCTTGCTGGTGTCCGGGACTCAACAGGAGCCAGATATGCTGGAGTGTGGCTTGCAGCCTGTGGGATCTTCCCTGCTCTGGCTATGAACATCACCTGGTTGCTCAATAATCAAGGCGGCGACTCCAAAAAGGGAGCAGGTCTCGCTATCTCCCTGACCATAGGACAGTGCTCGTCTCTTATTAGCAGCACTGTATTCCCCAAATCAGCTGGGCAAGTCACAACTCCTATGGTCCTGTCTGACTGCTAACCTTTCCAAAGGCCGTTCTATGTAGTTGGGTGTGCTATCGGTTGCGGCATGAGTGGACTGATTGTCTTTCTCGCCCTAGTCATGCATTTCCTGTTGTCAAGGGAGAACAGAAAAAGGGACCAACTTTACGGGCCCGTTGACAGGAACCAGGCAGTTGATGTTTCACAGCAGGGAGATTATGCTAGGAACTTTAGATACTTCACCTAAAATTGGGTGCGTTATCTAGATTCTGGAGGCAGATCGTTGAAGGAGTCGAAGTCTAGGGTGTTCGCCCATAACCACAGTTGGCTGGCATCCACAAGTCCTGAATCCACGAGGGCAGACATATCGCCGTCCCAATTGAACGTGCCCATAGCCCCTTGGTCTCCATGGTTTCCATAATCTCCAGCGACGGGGTCTTGCGGCTCCAAATAGGCTCCCGTTGACGGCTGGGAAATATGCTGCCTGAAGACTATCACCATGTTGTAAGCTCATGGCCTCTTGATGCATGTATCAACTCAGCAGATTGTGCTTACCTTCGTGAATCGGCTCCAAGACTCGGGCGTTTCTGGGATCACTCGGAGCAGTTGCGGTCGTACTTGGTTTGGGTGCTATGGCCCTGCTTGATGTTGAGTAGCCTCGGGCAGATGAGACCGTTTCACTGTTGATAGAGGCGGTATGGAGGCCTGGATAACTCGTTCGTCCGGTTATCATATCCGTTTCCTTTCGAAGCATAACCTCGACTAGGCTATCTATAATCCCCAAACTCTGCTCCGAGACAAGTTGGCCACTATAAAGACCAGGTTTGGTCTCTCTACACATGCGTGTAATGTGCATAACCCCGGTCTTTGCGCGTGACCCCATTTCAGTAAGAGGCTGTGCCAGGCAGATAGCGCAGAGAACAACGCCGGCTGTAAACATGGTCATTCCAACATGGACGTCTGCGTGAGTCCTTCTACAAGCATCTAGAATGCGAGGATGGCGGGAGAGCTCGGATGTGTCCATTGCTGAGGTGAAGATCTGCTCCAGAGACGTCCTGCTGTTGGTAGTTACAGAAGAGATGTCGTTGCTGTTGAAGACTTCAGTACGGTGTAAGATGATTTGTAGGTTGTCATAGGTAAGCTGGAGACTGAGTGCATGGATCTCAGTTGGTCTTACTACACTTGCGTCCGTGGAGTGCTCCTGGCCGTTAAGAGTCAGGATCTCGGGGAGGTCGTGGCGCCACTGTAGCATACGTTGATGAATTGTTCCAACGGACTCAAATGTATTTCGTTGTCTCTTCCGACCCAAGAATGCACCCATGATCCTGTAGAGACGGAATTTATGTTGATGGTAGAGGATGAGTGGCCTTGCAGGGACATGCGTATGGCCATCCATGTCAATATCCGAGATCATCTCGACTTGGCAGTCAGAGTCGTCAATGATACAGGGGCGCCCGAATGCAACAGCAGCATATCTGTTGATCGAATCGGGGTTAGCTTGGATACGTATAGACATCAACAATCGTGATTGTATGGCCTTACTTGTCAAAGACTTCCAATGTCCACCAAGTGCGTCGCTTGACTTCTTGTGCTAGCTGAGACGTCTCTTTCCAGAAACTCTCACGGTGCAGTCCAATGACCTGAGCGATTTTGACCCCCATTCCACAGATACCTAGTCCTGTTGTGGGCCGCGTATAAAATATGAAACTGCCAAGCAGGATACATATTTGGACTGTCTCTACGGTTTGACACCCGATAATTTGCAGGAAGCGCGTTTCGATAACGGCAATTAGGTCTCGAGAAAGCTGTCTGTGCTGAGGACTCATCGGGTCCTCAGGGTCTTTAAGTGCGGCGTAATGTGCACCCAGCGCTATGACTAGAAGCCATGTCCAGAAGAATGTTGTGTCCTGGTACTTGATTTGTGTCTGTTGTAGCATTTCTTCATACCGGCGGCGAAAGGTATCTTCGTGGAAGACCATCATGAACCAGTTGACCGAAGAGAAGAAGCTGTCCACTAATTGCTCAAGAATATCGTCCGTAGGGAGTTCTACGCCTACTACGTTACGCCAATGCTTGGCAGGGAGCGTGGTGTTGGCTTCCAGGAGCTTTGTTCCGCCAGGCAGTGAGGAGGTATCATGTCGTAAGTCCTGGCTGGAGCCGCTCCCGCGTATCATCTGCGATGTTCATACAAGTCTCAGTGCCTGTTCCGGACGAAAAGCTCCGTACTTACAAGAGCACTTAGGTCAACGATGCTAGATTCTGGGAGTATGGGAGACCCCGGATTCTGAGCCTGTCTATTTCTCGTATTTGTCTGGCCAAGTGAAGATGCCCCGATGTCTCCTGATATTGACTCGCGAGGGATACACTGGGCACCCGCGCGGACGCAATGGACACAAGGTCTCTCAGCATCGCACTGCGAATTCGTCAGCGAGACAAGTAAAGAGATTGGAGGTGATGAGGATTCATACTCCGAGCTTGCGCTTACGGCAGCGCTCACAGGCTGAAGATACTTTTTGTCTTTTTCTCACAGATGCAGACATTATGAGACCTTGTCGAAGAATTAACTTGGATATGATGCCTCCGACGGAAGGGTTCATTATGTGCTAGGTTCAAAGTCCGACGGAAGCTCCATACCCCTCATTCCCCCCACAGTGGCCGGGCGGTGACAGAGTTCACTAAACCGTTTATGTCATGTTGCAACACAGCTGAAGCTCAAACACAGAGAAAGGTGAGTGGATTGACACAAGACTCAATGCAAAGCAGCTGCAGGTAACTCTGAAACCGGAAATATATGGTTTGTAACAGTCTTTGTTAGATTCAGGACGCTTTTACCTGTAATGCAAAGTCAGGACGGGTGCTGTTCCCATCCAATTCCATTCAATCTCGGACAGGACAAGAGTCACATGCAAGAGACTTGCCCTTCAACACCGAGCTCTACGTATATGATATTGACATGAATTATGAGCGAGAAATCTCATAATTAATGGGAAATGAATTTATTCTCAATTTCGTATCTCACTGCATACATAATGCTTTTCCTTTGCTTTTGTGTTTTTGAAGCCTACTTGTTCACCTCCTCCAGCAGCGTCTTAGCTGCCAGCTTGCCCAAGTTATTCGATGCCAGTGGAGAATCACCAGTCAATAGCAGACGATCCCGATGGCATTCACCAGAGATAGTCTTGTTGATCGGCGTAACACCGAGCTTCTTCAGTCGCTCACCAACCAGCCACTCCATCTTGCCTGGGATATAGCCAATGTCGATATTAGCTCCCTGATCCAGTGAGTCGGGGAACACGTCGATGCTGTATCCGTCATAGATAAATTTGGACCCCTCAGGCTTGCCAACATCCGCGGCGAGGATACTGGCAGGCCCATGGCAGAGGGTGATAAAGAAGCGATCATTGGCGTGAGCCCAGCGGAGAACGTCGCCAACGGTCTTACTGAAGGGTATGCCATTCAACACGCCATGACCGCCTGGAATGAAGACTGCCAGATATGGCGTATCTTCATTAAACCCCTTCCCGTCTTTGCCATTCCAGACCTCAGACAGGTTGAGCGGGCTGCGAAGCTTCTGCTTGTACTTGTCGTAAATCGACTTGACAGCCTCATCCTCTTGAGGAAAGGCCCACATCTCGAGCTTGACTGGATCTCCCGAGAGTGTAGCGACATCAATATCAAAGCCAGCAGCGTCGAGGTGATACATAGGCAGAAGCATCTCAACTGGGTGATTACCTGTGGAGAAGAACTTGCCATCTGCCATTTTGAGATAGCGCTCCTGGGTACCAATCATGAGGATCTTCCACTTGCCGCCGGTGTACTTGTTTGGATAGTCGGCGCCATCAAAGTCTGTCTTGGCGGTAACGTACTGCGTGAGAGAGAAGGGTGAGGGGAAGTAGGCGTCATCTTCCGCCGTGTCGCGGACGGGAGTCTTGTCGTCTTGCTTGGACATTATGACGAGCTGTAGGGTAAGGTGTTTGAAGAATGGGTGCTGATGAGATGATTGAGTTGAGTTGAAGTCGTAAGCTCAATTCTTGCTGCGACACAGCTTGAGACGGTTGGAAAGTGTCTTCTTATAGATGTTGAAGCTCTACGTATGTGGCGGGTTCCAAGGGAGGAGCAGTGAGGAGTACGACATGTTGCTGAACGATAAGGTTTGACTTAATCGTTAGCTACCTTGTTTAGTGTCTGGATGGGAGCTACGGGTAGATCACTATTGGCCAGACTTGCTTATCAACTCCGACGGAGATACCATTAGCGTTCCGACGGAACCAGGGTTGTAAGACGGAGCGGCTCACAGGCCAATCAATGGTCTAGGCTCTGTGCCGTGTCTTAGTCCCCCCGCAACAACACGAAACCGAGCTCTTGACGGAACTTCCCTCATTACGTCAACGGTTCTCGGCATTTAATGCACCTGCAAGCCCCTCGATAAGCCATCCGAACTTCGTTTCTTATAATAACGTACCAAATTTAACTGGAAATGACTACTGATTATAAGTTTGAAGGATGGATGGGCGAGGATGAACGATCAGCGGAAGGGAATATGGTCTGGCAAGAATACGAGCCTAAGAAGTGGGAGGAGACTGACGTTGATATCCGCATTACCCACTGCGGTATCTGCGGCTCTGATATTCACGTCCTCCGCTCAGGCTGGGTAAGTCTATACGAAGCTTGTTGTTACACAGGACACGACTGATGAACGGCTTGGTACCACAGCGTCAAGCACCATATCCTGTCGTTGTAGGCCATGAAATCGTCGGCGTCGCTGTCCGCGTTGGCAGTCAAGCTGAAGGCGGCATCAAAGTCGGCGACATTGTCGGCGTCGGTGCTCAATCCGACGCTTGTCTCAACCGCAAGCTAAGCGATGATAACGATGAGCGGCCCAAATGCAACGAGTGCGCATCCGGAGAAGAGAATTACTGCACCCGCATGGCCCCGACATATGGCTCAAAGTTCCTATCCACAGGTGACAAGACGCAAGGTGGCTACGCTCGCTATCACCGTTGCCCTTCGCACTTCGTCTTTCGCATCCCTGAGGGCGTCGCACCAGAGTACGCAGCTCCTCTTCTCTGTGGTGGCGTAACTGTCTATTCGCCTCTGAAGCAATTCGGCGCTGGGCCTGGTAAGAAGGTCGGTATAGTTGGCGTTGGAGGTTTAGGTCATTTTGCCGTGCTCTTTGCTCGTGCGCTTGGGGCCGATGAGGTTGTAGGTATCTCGCGAAGAGAAAGTAAGAGGCAGGAAGCCATGGACCTTGGATGTACAGATTATATTGCCACGGCTGACGAAGAGGGATGGGAGACGAAGAACTCTCGGCGGCTCGACCTTATCATCTCAACTGTATCGTCTCCAAAGGTAGGTTTATCCCTTACAAATGCTCCGACTGGGCACTAACAAGAGTTACTCTAGATGCCACTCGCCGATTATATCGGCCTCCTACGACTAGACGGTACACTCGTCCAAGTCGGGCTTCCAGAGGGGCAGCTCCCGTTCCGACCAGGAAGTCTTACTGGGGCTCGTCGAAGGATCGCAGGCTCGAGCATTGGATCGCCAGCTGAGATCAAAGAAATGCTGCAGCTGGTCGCCGATAAGAATGTCAAGCCTTGGGTTGAAATGCGTCCTATGTCAGATGCAAACCAGGCTATCGTTGACTTTGAGGCTGGAAAGCCGCGATTCCGCTATGTTCTAGTTAATTAGGACTTACATAGCTCTAGTACGCAAATAGTCTCTTTCTGCTCTTTCTTTGTAATCTGTTTGTATTTTACGCTTTGGCTTGATTCGGCCCTCGGCCACTGCGTAACTAGACTACGCTTTGACTGCGGAATGGAGGTCAGTAAGCAAGATTGGCAATTAGAAATTTCTCAACCAACAGGCATATCTCTATTTTTCAGCCTATTTACTCTCATCAATAGGAAATCAATGATGGCGCTCCAATGAGATGTGGTTTTGTTAACAGGGCAGTTGGCTTCCAACGAACCCGGAGTTAAGATTGGTGATAATCTTATGTCCAGGACCGGGCAACCAACAAAAGTGACAACCGATGCCGATATCAATGTGTATTAAAGGGCTTGGATCTCTAAATATCTTGGAAATAATTGCATTTATATAGTGTTAAGTGCATCTTACTATTCAACCACATACTAACACAAGCCTCTACCCCATCATGTCTTTAACTACAGAGACAATGAATCGATCTGCGGTACTGCCCCACCCAAAGGCTTACCCCATCGCCTGTTCCTGTTCCAACTGAGAATGAGATACTCATTCGTGTACGGGCCGTTGCTATCAACCCAGCCGACTACGCCGTTCAAAAGCTCGGCATTGTCATTAAACCCGAGTTCTACCCTTACGTCAGCGGTACCGATGTGTCTGGAGAAGTCGTCTCTGTTGGCCCTGATCAGGCGAGGTTTAGACCTGGAGACCGTGTAGTGGGCCATGCAATGGCATGTCAGAAGGGCGATAATAAGTACGGGGCATTCCAAGATTACTCAATCATGGTTGAGCCCATGGTAGCCAAGATCCCAGATCGCATATCTTTCAAGGAAGCAGCAGTTCTTCCCATGGGGCTCGCAACATCAGCTGTTATGCTTTTCAGCCCAACTTTGATGGGCCTCGACCTGCCTGTGGCTGGCACCGAGATGAACTCCGAGGGACAAGTCGTGGTAGTCTGGGGAGGCAGCTCAAGTGTTGGGTCAAATGCCATCCAGACTGTGAAAGCAGCTGGATATATCGTTGTGGCTACAGCCAGCGAGCATAACCACGGATTGCTGAGAGAGATGAACGTGGAATATGTCTTTGACTACAAGAAAGGTGGAGTTGAAGAAGAGATCATCAACACTTTGAGCAGCGTCGGCGATCTTGCAGGGGTTTACTGTGCTGTATACTCCGATGCTGCCATTACGGCATGTGCAACAATTGCAGACAGAATCCAAGGAAAGAAATGTCTGGGGACTATACTTCCTCCTGGGATGCCGGTGCCTGGAACGATACCCGACGGCGTGAAGGTTCTGATCAATGACCATGTTCTTCTGGGATCAACCGAGACTGGGAAGAGACTATGGGTTGATTGGCTTCCTGGAGCTCTCGAAGATGGGAATATGAAGTTTATGCCCCATCCTGAGGTGGTTGGGAAGGGGCTTGAGAAGATTCAGGATGCAGTCGATGCAATTGGCAAAGGGGTGATTGGAAAGAAGCTGGTGGTCGAACTTTAGACTATGTATATGGCAAAGCGATGGCCAAAAGATGAACTTTATTTTTAGTAGTATGTTAAAGTCGCCCTAAATTGTTTTTAAAGGTCTATAAGTAATGTAAAGAGCTAGGTAATTAAGTCTGTTTATAAAATATATAATTAATTTAATGCGATTAGATATAGTTTATTAATAGATTATAGATTTCTTTTTATATAATTTTATTTAAATTTTTAAATTAATAAAATAATACTAAAAGAGATTATAAATACTTTTTAAAATCTTTTTACAGATTTAATAAAGTATTTATATAAATAAAATAATTATTTTTAAATTAACTTTATAAAAATATAGTATTTAAAATATTATATAAATAGTTTATTTCCTATTTATATTAATAATATATTAATATTTAAATAATCTTTATACTTATAAATTAATTATAAATTATATAATATAATATAATATTTACTATTTTATATATTATTAATATTAACAGCCTTTAACTTTTTATACTTAAATCTATATAGAGCTTAATAGATATAAAATAAAATACTTTAAATATCTTACTTAAAAACTCATTTCTATTCATAGCTATATTAATATAATAAACCTGCATTATAAATTATAAGATAACTTAAAAAGATAAGTAATACTATAATCTAATATAGCAAGCCATTAAATTACATTAAATTATATAAACAATTAACCCAAAGTTCTAAAGCTCGATCCCATTTATATAGGCAACGACGCTGTAGTTATTACTTATATCAATACCTCTCTCCTTCAGTCCATCATAGCTAAAACAGCATAATAACTCCTGCGCCTACAATAACCAAAGCGCCAACAGTTCTCATTCCAGAACCAGAATTCAATACAACAGGGGGTCCATGATCTGTCTTTATAGGAATTGGAAGAAGCATGTCGTTTGTTTTTTCAGGGCAAGACCTGGGGAGGTCTTAATTTGGCTAGTAAGAAGAGTATCGATGTTATGCTCCCTATATATTCTTTAGAAAATGAGCCTCTGAATTATAGATAACCTACGTTTCTTAGGCCCTGATCAGGGCTACAAGAGAAAGTACAGCAAGGGTGGATTCTTGGATTGAGACGTGTAGAAAGGTTTAAGATAAAATGGCTTTGCGATATGAGGTAATCAACAAAGGGTACTATAGGGGTATCTCTATTGTAACACAATTTAATCGTCGGACGTTGAGGCAAAGGTTGTTCAGGTACTGCATGGAATTTACTACTTGAAGCATTCCAGAGTTTTGAGACCCGTTCATAAGGCTCATGTTTAGTTTACGTCAGTTGTTGTGTTGAACGAGTTCCATGAATTAAATTATTCTTCCGAGATTAAACATTCCCATCACTCATGCGCTGCTATGCATTTAAATCCTACTTAATTCTTTAGAGTTAAGCTGGTATGGATTGAGATGAAGACGCATTCTACAAGGGACGTTCAACCGTAAAGATTTGAAACGATGTTTTAAACCGCTAGCATACTTCCTGCCTGTGGTCCATCTTGCAGGCCATGGTTGTCTATCCTTTAGATCTTCAGCCCCACGAGTAATTACCTAAGAAATTAGTGTCTGGGATAAAACCGAGGCACTAAATGTTACTGATACATATCGTTCGAATGATAAATTTATTAGATTAAAGCCCAGCCTTTAACAGTCTGCTTAGATTTTACATCTCTATTCACTTTAATGAGCTTGTTTTAAAACATTGATATAAAAATAAATTGACCATCCACTTAAGGCATGGTAAAACCGCATTGAAATATATGTGAAGTGAACCACTCCTCACAGGTAAGCGTATTGTTACCATGTACATCTGTCCTACCGAGAACGTTTCCACACGGGTATGTAGACAGGCGAAATACTTGACATTATTCGAGGGGCATTATCGCCAAATCTATCCTTGGTCTCTACATCAAAAAAGCACCAATCAGGCCGACACCAGCTGCTAGATTGACAAGGTTGCGAGGGGCGCCGGCAGTTGGAACCGTTGGGGGACTGGTAGGTTCAGGGGTTGGAACCGTAAGAAGAGTGTCGATTGTATGCTGCTTGGTAGGAACAGGAAGCAGGGTATCGATAGTATGCTCCTTGGTGGGAACGGGCAGCAGGGTATCGATAGTATGCTCCTTAGTGGGAACGGGCAGCAGGGTATCGATAGTATGCTCCTTAGTGGGAACATGGAGAAGAGTATCGATAGTATGCTCCTCAGTGGGAACGGGAAGCAGGGTATCGATAGTATACTGCTTGGTGGGAATAGGAAGCAGGGTATCGATAGTATACTCTTTAGTGGGAGTAGGAAGCAGGGTATCGATAGTGTGCTCCTTAGTGGGAACGGGCAGCAGGGTATCAATGGTATACTCCTTGGTGGGAACAGGGAGAAGAGTATCGATGGTATGTAGAGTCGGAGCTTGGTATAAACTATCGATGACTGCCGTCGCGGCGGCTACACCGGGCAGGAGCACGACGTAAGGGACCTTCATCGTACGAGATGAAATGAAAATATAAAATAATTGTCTAGGATGCTAATTTGACGATGTATGGAGCGTGGAAGGAAGGTGGCAGTACTACCAGGAAAGGACGTTTTTCTTTGTAATGATGAAGGGAATCGTGCGTATTTATAACTGTAAATGATTATGATTAGCTAGATTCGATTTCCTTGAAATCATCGTCTCGTAAATTGAAAGAGCCTATTTAGAGCCAGCTGAATTATACGAGGACTGCCAAGGCTCGTATTTTAGAAAGCTGGGGTATACGAGATCTCCAAGTTAAACTTCTCTTCTTGCCTGAAACGGCATAGCTGAAACATCATACCTGGAGTTGAAAACCAATTGGATGCGTTCAATTTGTGATTGCTCTGACTGAACACCATGCCAATATTAGAATACAATGGTGCGAGACTTTTACCTACAGGGTTCAGACTGGCACTATCATCTGTGCAATAGAAGTGTCTCGATGGTCTGTACCACAAAGTACCAAAGGAACCTTGTCCTACAGTCAGTAATAGCTCTTGAAGCTTAACCACGGGTGCAACGTGCATCACATACGCGCCGTTGAGTCACCGCTTGTCCCTCCCTGGCTCAAAGCGGACATGTTTTCGATGATCCTGCAACCAGTTTACGAGCAGGGGAGCAAAAAAGTGCTAGAACTGCTTCCATGATCGCCAAGCAGCCCCGCCCACAAGCTTTTTACCCTACCAATACCATTGAGTTAAAAGCGACCGAGTGTAGACGGATGGGTCAAAGCGTATTTCTCAAGAGAGCAAGGCTCAAACGGCTCGAGGAACTGGCTTTTGAGCTGGTTCCAGCACTGACAGTCGCTTATCCGTCAGACCAGCTACACCGAAGAGAAACAAGGCTGCTGTCAGCAGCCTCTCCATCCAGGATTCAATGCTACCGTGAGTCTGGCTCCTCGACGCCGTCACCACGCTATAGGCTGCTCATGTCACCCTGACTCGAGCGCCTGCGCTCTTCACTTGGATGTGTGTCAGTGCCTTGGACTCCGTCGGCAGGTTGCTCGGCGAGGAAGCCCTGGGTCGCGCTTAGCATAACTCGCAAGGAGACCAAGGGTCGACTCCTTTCAAGGCAGAAGAGTTGACCTCGGCTTCTTTCCCCATATCTCTGTCGAATGGCTGTCGATATCGTCTCGATACCGCCGGAGCGTATCTTGCCTGGGTCATAATGTATTTTCATAGGACTGGTAACTATTAGGTAGCCATGCAAATGAAAGAGACGAATATATAAAGGGTGGGACTAAAAATGACAAGATAAGGTTATCTGGTAAACTTTCTCCATGCGAAGTTAGTAAGAATAGCAATATAGGAGGGTTAGATAGTTTAATTAGCTATTAGAACTCTACCTTAGGTTTGGTTTAGTTAATAATATAAATAATATTACTTATTACTTTTCTAGATATATATATATAAAGTTCTATATACATTATCCTATTTTCTATACTCTATAAGGCGCTATCTGGAGCATGATATAACGTCGGATATAGGGAAACTGGCCACCCCTAGAAACCGGCCACCTGCTTTTTAACCTAACTACCTAATTTATAATATCTTAATTAATTTATAACTCTACTAATTTTAATTATATAGACTTATAAATAATATTAATTAATTTAGAATAATAAAATTTACTAAAAAAGATATATATATCGCTTTTTAGATAGTTTTAGAAGGAGTTTCTATAAATAAAGTTATAGCAGCTTATAGTATGAACTATTTAACACTTTAAGCCTGTATTAAAGGGGCTATAACACTAAAAGAAGCTTATAAACTTAAATAAAAGCTTTTAGCTATTTAGGAAAGAAGTCTAAGAGATTGGATTATAGTTTAAGCTGACTTAGGATATCTTATATTATATTAATAGGTCTGATACTTTATAAGCCAGATTGTAATATATAATGGCTTTCTAGAAGGCATTAGAAAATACTAGTTAGAGGCTTTTCTAAATAGGAATAAAGAAGTAAAGACTTTACTGTAACGGTTAGGTCTAACTATATTAAACTAAGCCGTGCTTGGGTTTATTGTTAGCAGATTATATAGGGCATAATGCTAAGCGGTTATCGATATATTATATCTCTTAATAGTAGATTTAATGTATATTAGGCTTAATTAATATAAAGAAGTTTTATTAATAGCTAGTAAGCTAAATCTATAGAAGTGTAAATAAGTATAAACTATATACTACTATTATAAAGGTACTTAATAGTACTTCTATTAAGGACTAAGATATTAGTTATTTAGTCCTAAACCGATATTATATTACTTTAGTCCTATTATAACTGGTTAAAGTAAATAGACTAAAAAGGATCTTATTTAGTCTAGTTATAATTAGTAGAATTTATAGAGAAATTTATAGGATATATATAATATAACCGTAAGGGTTATAATATAATCTCTCCTCTCCCTTAGGTCTTATCCCTAAGATTATACTTACTTACTGTTTTTATTAGTCTATACCTATAAGTATTAACTTAAACTTATTTTTATCTATATATATCTTACTAATTATTATATTAAGTTAGGTTTCTAAAAAGAAATATATAAAAATTTCTAAATTTAGTGCTCTTATATAATATATTTATAAATTTAGCAATTTTATTATGCCATATTCCCGTTATTTCTATTATAATCTTATATATAAGGCTATTAATAAACAATCTTACCGTTACAGTAATTATATAAAGGTAAAGGTAGTTTATAATAGTTTTAGTATTACTTCTTTTTATAAGTGTTTTTCTCTTATATTGCCTTAATTTAGGTACTAATTTTATAGTTTTAAAAAATATAAAAGAGTATAAGAAGTTAGAAAAAGATAAATAAAAAGCTAAAAAGGCTCTTAAAGAGGCTATAGCTTATTTAGCTTATATTTAAAAAATAAAATATTATCTTAAGGAATAGGGTAATAAGTTATTTTCTTATAGGATATAATCTTTAGAGAAATAAGGTAGTTTTTCTATTAATTAGGCTAAGTCTTCAGTCATTTTTAAAGCTTAGTCTTATAGTGCTATAGACTTAATTAATTAGAATTCGGTTTTGGCTGATATTCCTTTTATTAATCTTACTATTTCTAATAAAACTTCTTTAGGAGTTATTAGGCATTAATAAGGTGTTTTAGGGGTTCCTATATATTCTTATTCTTTAGGTAATTTTTCTATTTTATTAGGTATTCTCTTTAACTATTAATTTTATATATATCTCTAATTGCTTCTACTTTATAGACTTCTAGTCCTAAGATTTCTTGTAATTTATTACCTATTTTGACTTATATTATATCTGCTACTAATTTAAGTAATAAGATATAAAAGATTAAATAGAGTTTAACTTTTAGTAGTAAATCCAGTTTGTAGTTATTTTCTGAGATTTTTTATAGTATTTTATAAGGTCTGATAAACTTATAGTCTAACTTATATATTAATTAGTCTATTTTAATATTTTTTATAGCTAGGTAGATTATATCTCCCTCTAAAAAGGTTAGTCCCTTTAACTGTTTTAGGTTATAGTAGTTTTTTATTTATTTTCTAATAAATTTAAGTTCTATTTTTATTTCTTTATATAGATTTTTTATGTTATCGCTTTTAATAATAGCTACTAGATTAATAGATTTTTCTTATTATATATTATAGTATATATTTAATATAAATCTAAAGTTAGCGTAAGCTAGTATAAGCTTTATACTTTTATTATATGCAGTATTATATATAAGTTAGGCTATTAATAGCTTCTTAACCTAATCATTCTATTTATAATTAATATAATACTATAAATACTGCTTAAATACTTAATTCATTTATTTAGTCTATCTATTAACTTATAGTTAAAATACTATTATAAGTTAATAGTTTAATTTAAGTCTATCTATAAGTAATTACCAAAAGGTTACTATAAATATACCTCCTCTATCTAAAAGAATTTCTTTAGGCAGTCTATATATACTAATAATATATCTATAAAAAATATAGAAAAGTTATTCTATATCTATAGACTCTTAATATAGAATATAATATAAAAATTTTATAAATTAGTTAACTATAACTATAATACTATTATAAAAGATTCCGGTTAAGGGTTCTTCTAATAAAGGTAACTTTATAATAAAGTCTATTATAATTAAGTCCTAAAGTTATTATACTACTAGTAGAGATTATAGTTATCTATAAGGTTTATATTATTATATTTTTATCTTAATATATAAGTTATATTATTTAATAATTTTCTTAATTTCTTTTCTCTTAACCTTATAACCTTATTTTTATAGTCTTTTAAGTGTTTTTATTACTTTTTAGTGTCTATATAGTAGGTATAAATAGTATTTATAAAAGAAGTTATATTCTTAATTTTATATTATATTAATATTATAGATTTATTTCTTTAAGTAATAAGTATTATAATAAAACCAATTATTTACCGTTCTATACTATCCTCTTAAGTAGTTATTATAAATATATAACTAAAATTATCTATTATCTAGTTTATTGCAGTATTTAACAGTTTAGTATAAGTATTTAATATATTTATTAAGTATCTTATTTAGGATATATAATTAATTATAGATAATAGATACTTATTAATATTAAATACCTCCTTACTTCTCTACTTCCTTTCTCTATTTATATAGAGTTATTATTATATTAAATTTAATATGCTATTTATCTATAAGTTCTTCTAGTAACTTAATGTTATCTTCTGCTATAACTATTATTATTGCTATTATCTTAATAGGTTATATAAATTAATAGTTTCTATTTATATTCTTTTCTAAAAATTATTATCTAATTTTAACAGTTTCTATATTAAAGTTATATTATTGGCTAATAGTATCTACATATCTATTATTAATGCCTTTACAGTATACTATAGTAAAGTCAAATTTATATAGGTATTCTACATAATATAATTATTATTAGTTTAGCTTTTATATTATTATAAAATAAGCTATATTTTTATAATTAATAAAGACTTTTATTAGGTATT